TTCGTAAACTATCTGTACTTCTAAACTATCATTATTAGCGAAGATTAAATCAATGATTGTCTGACTGTCTTTCGTGATTCTTGTCGGTTTATTAACGTATTGTTTCATACTTAAGCTCAGCATTGTCGTTTGCAGCTTCTTCGCATAAAAGGAATGTAACATAAGATCTATATTAAAGTCACCACTTACTATACATTCTTGTTTTATTGTTAACTCCTCTACTATATCTTCCAGAAATCTCATAAAGTCACCATGCGATGCGCTTGGTGAGTGATATACTACCATAATCACCTTTTTACACAATTTTTTTTTTACTTCTACCGCTACACACCAACAGTTCAATTTTAAGGTTTTTGCTAATACTATTTCATATTTAACATCGTCCCTTATATATAAAACAACTCCTCCTGTATTTCTGTTCTCAGTATTACACCTAACTATACTATAACCCTGAACGCTCACTTCACTATCATCAATCTCATCAGTCAGTCTAGTTTCCGACAGTGCTAAGAATGCAGGATTTATTTTCTTCAAAATTTGATGCTGTATCTCATCTTTATGCGTCGTTAGATTTTGCGCATTTGTATATAGCATTAGCTCCACATCTTCCTGTAGTTGCTATTTAGTGTCCTTCCAGCCAGCTCTCCTCTTCTCTTCTTAAAATGCTCTCTTAAATGTTGGACACTCCATACTGAGAGCGTCGTGCTCGTCATTTATTTTTAGGTTGTATGTTCATACTGAGAGCGTCGTGCTCGTCATTTATTTTTAGGTTGTATGTTCGAATTTTGAACATACAATTTACACACTTCTTCTTTGTCGCTGAACAGTCAATCGAGTTGTGATTTCCTGTACATTTGTGACATGTCTCGTCTTTCACACAGTTTTTAGCTATGTGATAATAACCCCAGCATTTAAAACATCTTTTAACACTAACATGATTAAATACAGGACATTTCTTCCATCTTATATTTAGCTTACTTTTCTTCAGAATCAACTCATGTGTTTCATCATTTGTTTCTACTATTATTGATCCCTCTTTACTTTCTCGTTTTTTAGACTGGTTGTTATTATTTTTCTTTCTTTTCATTATTTTCTTCACTTTTCGCATATTCATTGTATACATTTTATTCTGCCATTTTATCGTAGATATAAGTTTATCATCACTTAAATTTATCTCTTCCATCCCTACATTAATAATTTTTAATTTCGGCTTTGATTGTGGTGATTCCACTACTTTATAATTTTCTCCTAGTTTAGCTTGAACTGTCTCCTTCAACTTTTTTACTTCCTTTCCAGTTTCACATCCCATTATTACAGTTCCCTTGCTTCCTTTTCTTAATTTTGTTATTCCCATCGCCATGTTCTTAATATCCACTTTTTCTTTTATTAACTTTTTTGTGGTTTCACTTTCTTGTTCCAATTGTGGCTTTACAATTATAATATTTTCTCTCTTCATTTCTTTGACTGCTTCACTGTAGCTTCTTTGCGTTCCTGACGCTGGTTCGCGCATTACTCCCTGTATCATTCTTCTTAGATTTTCCAGTTCGTGTTTAACGTTTCTCAATTCCTCTCGAACTATCTCTTTAATCATCATTTTAATTTCTTTCTTACAGGTTGTTTCATTTTTGATTTTTTTTACAGTTCTTATAAGATAATCTATTTTTATATCAATGCCAGTCGATCCACTCATTCCTGATAATTTATTTCCACTACTCGGTGCCGTAAACGATCCCGCAGAACCTATAGACCCTGTAGATCTTGTCCTATCTCTGCTGCTCCCCGTCGTCGTCGGAGCTTTTTTCATACTTGCTTCTTGGCCGTTTTCAACGAAAAACTCTTCAAACGGACCAGCACATTGCACCAATTCTCGATTTCTATCATAAACTCTATGTTTACATATACATTCCGGATGGTAAAAAAGTTTGACACAAGACTTGCACTTAACAACTTTGTTTTTTATTGCCTTCTTACATGCCGAACATCGGTATTCTGCATATTCATCGTCCATGCCAATAATTACCGACTAGAGTCGTTAAATCAGCGCAAGCGATCATTCACCTGTGATCTACTTACACACGTCAGCACCTTGTATCCACGTAAAGTGTCTACCCGTCTTGCGAGACTTCGATATCCCGAACAAGAAATGCACTTCTCACAGTCACAACTGAGCATATCCTGGCTAGATAATACTCATAATTACTCACTTTCTATGGCTCTATAAATTAAACCACTTTTTATCACACTCTCTTATTGTTTACTCACTAAAAACTTATACTTTTTACGGAGCGATGTGTGACACGTCTTTTCTACTCGCAAGAAAGAGAGAGAGAGAGAGAGAGAGAGAGAGAGAGAGAGAGAGAGAGAGAGAGAAAAGGAGGAAGAGAGAAGGAACATACGAGCCACGCGCAAGAAACAGGCTAGTAACGAGGTACGCTTTTCGCGGCTGGCGGTTTAGCTATAGCTATAGCTATAAGGGAAGACAGAGAGCAAGTATATATATCCGTCTCCGTCTACTGCTCGAAGTTGGCCGAAGCGCCGAGCGCACACGGATACGGCTGTTCGCCTGTGTGCGTATCCCTTCCACCTGCTGCTGCATGCTGCAAAAGTCTTAAAACTGGCATTTCTGCATAGAATTCCTGTTGGTTTGACTAAGGAGGAATTAACAGTTGAGATTGCTACTCTTAACCTTGAAAAGGCAAATGCATCTAATATCAAGATTATTTATATTTTTCCGCAAAAGGCTGATCGTCGATATACTAGCTGTGTTATTGAGGTACCACCTAACGTACAAAACTACCTGAAATCTCAATCGCATATTTATGTAAAGTATTCTTCTTGTGCATTCGAGAACTACGTGCGGGTACTTCAATGTTTTAAGTGTTTAGCGTTCGAACATGTAGCCAGAAATTGCAAATCTTTTTCCTTGTGTGGCCGCTGTGATGGTGAGCATGAATTGATTAATTGTCGTAATAGAAGCGATAACCCAACTTGTGGCAATTGTTAGAGGTGCTTGCATGTGGGCTCT